CACATGTGGTAAACGGGAACCCCATCCCTCCTTATTTCACCAAGACCAGCAGTTCGGAGTGGAACAGCTCCGATGACCTTGCCGGTCCCTTTTCCGAGCAGGGGGATTCGTCGTCACATGCTGACATGCCTCCTCAGGTTCCCTCTCGGACTCTATCTAACGCCGCAGCTCCACCGTTGCCTCCAAAACCACATATCTTGAGTTCAGAGAACCGGCGACACCTCCAGCAAGATCCCTGCCCACCCAGTCCTCAGCGCTCGGCCCTGTCCCAGAGCGTCCAGCAGAAGTGGCTGGAAAACTCGCCGGAGTCGCACATGAACTCGTCGGACACGAGCTCCAAGTCTGGCTCCTCTGATCAGGAGAGGAATGATCTGTCAGCTAGTGAGGGTGAGGAGAAGTTCTCCATCTTTCCTAAACCTGTGGTTGGCTCTCCTGGGATCCCCACCACTTATTTCTCTGTGGATAACTGCATGACGGACACTTACCGTGCCAAGTACTATAAAAAGAGACCCGGGCTTCATGTGATGGTGGACTCTAGAGCCGGGGATCACACCTCATCTGGTGAAAGTGATTATGGGGAAAGAGTGTCACCATCTCCTTCAGAAACACAGGCACCATCGCACACCAGAGTCATAGCTAGCGCAGGTAATGAGTCTCAAACACATATACATCTCTGCTCATGTGTAGCGGCTGAAACCATAAACTAGTGGGGTCATTTCAATAACGTTTAAAATAACATTAAGATTAGTGATTGTCTTAAGTTACAAGGTAGCACGTTGATTAAACATGTATTCATATTTAGTAATTTAATAATGTTTTAAATATAAAATTTCTATAAATAGACCAAAAGACAAACAGATGGTACGCGTGGATGGATGGGTGGGTGGGTGGATATATGGTATGGATGGTATGGATGGATGGTATAGATGGATGGATGGGATGGTAAGGGATGGATGGATGGATGGATGGATGGATGGATGGATATATTGTATGGGATGGATGGTAAGGGATGGATGGATAGGTGGGTGGATGGATGGATGGATATATGGGATGGGTGGGTGGGTGGGTGGATATATGGTATAGATGGTATGGATGGATGGATGGATGGTAAGGGATGGATGGATGGATGGGTATATGGTATGGGATGGATGGATGGTAAGGGATGGCTGGATAGGTGGGTGGATGGATGGATGGATATATGGTATGGGATGGATGGTATAGATGGGATGGATGGATATATGGTATGGATGGTATAGATGGATGGGTGGGTGGATGGATGGATGGATATATGGGATGGATGGTATGGAATGGAGGGAGGGATGGATGGATGGGTGGGTGGGTGGATATGGTATGGATGGATGGATTGTATTGAATGGTGTAGATGGATGGATAGTATGGGATGGATGTGTGGGTGGATGGATGGATGGATATATGGTATAGATGGTATGGGTGGGTGGGTGGATGGATGGTGTGGGTGGATGGTATGGATGGATTGATGGTATGGGATGAATGGATGGTATAGATGGATGGATGGATGGATAGTATGGGATGGAAGGTATGGATGTGTGGGTGGATGAATGGAAGGATGGATATATGGTATGGATAGTATGAGATGGATGGATGGATGAATGGGTGAGTGGATGGATATATGGTATAGATGTAGGGGTGTAACGGTACACAAAAATCACGGTTCGGTACGTACCTCGGTTTTAAAGTCACGGTTCGGTACGTTTTCGATACAGCAAAAAGAAAGAAATGCCAGAGAAATTTCCTATTTGTTTAAAGAAAAAATATTTTTAAATAAGTGTCAGTTTTCCTAGATCTTGAAACTTTCAGGTTTATAAATGGGGGTCATCTTTGAAGGATGAACAAATAATGTTTTGGTCATCACACAAAAAAGGAACAAAAGTTTTCACTGGGGCTGTACCTTTTCAAAAGGTAAACTTTTGTCCATTTCATGAGCTTTTAGGTGTTAATATGTACATTTTGGGTGCTAATATGTACATTTTAAGTGTTAATATGTACATTTTAAGTGTTAATATGTACATTTTAGGTGCTAATATGTCCATTTCAGGAGGTAATATGTCAATTTCATGAGCTAAAATGTCCATTTTAGGTGGTAATATGTACATTTGAGGTACTAATATGTACATTTTAAGTGTTAATATGTACATTTTAGGTGCTAATATGTCAATGTCATGAGCTAATATGTCCTTTTCAGGTGGTAATATGTCCATTTTAGGTGCTAATATGTACCACTAAGGTACCAATATGCAGCATTTGGGTACAAAAGTGTACCTTTTGAAAAGGTACAGCCCCAGTGACAGCTTTTGTACCTTTTTTTTTTCTGAGAGTGCATTAAAAATAACATTTAAATATATATTTATTTATATAATATTTGAATTTTGAAGTGCTGGAAAAAGATGTGTGAAGTACTTGAAAGCATTTCACCATTCCAGCCAAACTGGTTCCAGTTAGTGTTACTATATTAAATCCGTGGTGAATGTTGCTGGTCTGTGGACGTAAAGTATTACTAGTCCATTCACGGCACAATGTTTCTCCTGGTTTCCACGTCAGCGCTGTTTGATCTAATAGAGATCTACGGTTAATAACGGAGAAATGTGAATGCTTCTCACTAGATCTCGCAGCGATGTTATTACCTCAGTGGCGAATTCAAATGTGTTCTTTACCGGATCTCTTAGCGCTGTGTAGTAACAGTGTTGTTTGATCGAGATTGGCTCGCGCTGCACAGATGTTGCTGGTCCGAACTGATAAACGATCCATGAAGCACATAACGAGTAGCGCAGTTTCGTTCTGCTTTCATTACGCTTGCCATTTGATGTTGCGCAATGTTGTGTTGGCCGCGTCAGCACAAATTTTGCCGGCAGGAAAAATGGTCCAAGCAGTCGTTCGGTTTGTATGCGTACCGAACCGGAAGCCTCGAACCGAAATGGTTCAATACGAATACATGTACCGTTACACCCCTAGATGTTATGGATAGATGGATGGATGGATGATAGATCAGGTTATCTGATGCTGATTAATGATCACATGACATGCAATTAAACAAATCAAATGTGTGTTGTTAGTATGTTGATTTGTCTTTATTTATCTTTATTCGGCAATTCTATGATTAAATAATTTATTAGCTTTTTATGAACTTACTAACCAGAATTCCTTCACAAACCAGAGTTTGAGAAACCCTGAATCCTTTTTTCTTTTTGTATTAGTATATCAATATGGTAATAATAAGATTGTCCTATTCAAATCAATATTAATGTGTTATGTTAAAAGTAACCAAAAAGTAGACAGAATACATTACCTCAAATGTATTACCAACTACAATTTTCATCCAGTCTGTACCGGACTACAATTTACGTACTCCACCCAACACTGTGTATAGGTATTTTAATGATAGACATTCTTGTGAGCTGCCAGGAATAAAGTTGGACTTTAACACTCGTCTGATAATAGTGATATAATGTTCTGTTTCTTTTCAGTTCATGCTTCCAGTAAACCCACTGCAAAATGGAACCCTGTTTCAGTGAAAGGACTGGACGAACACGGCTTTCTATGACATCAGGTGTCATGTGTGAAACACGCAGCGCTAATGATGAAGCGTGGACGCTGAGACCTCTGGATGTTCAATGGCCTTCTCTTGGAACATGTCCTTCTACACTTTGGGTTGTGTGTGGCAGTACATTTGCACATTTTCAAGCCAAAAGAGAACAATATTACCTAACGTAGAAGAAAATATTCCATAACACTCCATAGGCTCAAATATATTTGATGACTAACTAATTAAGATTAACAATATTAACAAAAGTGAAAATAAGAGTGATGGATTGAGTTCCCTCCCTGTTCACTGCTTCTGATTTTCTCTTAAATTGTTTAACGTTTCGATTGTTTTTGGACGGCAGAGCTGCTAAAAGATTTGATTGTATTTTCAGAGGGTGAAGCTGCTAAATGTGAAACCATTCCTGTATTTGGTAAGAACTCATTTAAATGTTTCATGGCCCTTTTTGGTTGGTTTAGGTGTGTGATATCTATTTTTTATTATTATTATTAAATTAGTCCCTGATCAGTTATTAAAATGGGCCATTTTAAATATTGTCACCCTTCTATCATGTTGTTTTTCAACAGAAATCATGGACACTGGAGTTCGAAATGTATGTCATTTGTTTGTAAAATGGTGGAACTTGACTTTATTTGGGCACATGAAATGTTTTTGGAACAAGTTGTATATTTTGTCATTTAGTTTTTATTTGTATGTATTTTGTATATTGCTTGGCAGAACACTGAATAGTGCCTTATTTTGTACGTAAAGATGGGATAAAGGTTTTTTTTTTATCTTATGTTAACTTTTATAATATTGTAGTTCATTTTGGTTAAGAACTTTTAATAAACTGATTTATTTAAGCATAACGTGGTTGTCTAATTTGTGTAAATATATACACTAAGACACTTTCAAAAACATTTGAATGTTATTCTCACCGAGGATGTATTCATTTGATCAAAAAAATACAGTGAAAACAGTAATATGGTGAAATATTATAAAAAATAACAATTAATTGAATTCAAATAACCATTTTCTATTTGAATATATTTTAAAAATGTAATTTATTCTTGTGACTTAAAGCTGAATTTTCAGAATCATTTTTCTAGTCTTCAAATCATTATAATATGCTATATTTGCTTCATGATTCTTTGACTAATAGGAACTTAGTTCATAGACATTTTTTGTAATGTAAAATGCATCCTTATCCTCCCGAATAAAAAATGATTTCTTAGCAGTAAAAAAAAAAGAAACTATTGAACCCAAACTTTCAAATGGTAGAGTTCTTAAAAATAAAAATATTGCTTATCAAAGTTTTTATACGTTAATCTCTTATGAACTAAATACATACTATTTATTTTAATTCAACATCTGAGAGCCTACTATATTTATTGTAATTCATCAAAGATGTATGAATATACACAAATAATGTAAGAGTCTTGGACACAATTGTTAGATAGCTATAATTTCCAGAGAAATCAAAATAGAGCATTAATTTCAGCTGTCATAACATGTCAGGAATTTTTATTCAAAAGTATGGGTCTTTGTAGTGACAGTTTTCTATATATTTCTATAACAATCATTTCATGAACTAAAAAAACTAATGCTAGCTAAATTCTACATAGCTTCAAAACTAAGACGATTTCTTGAAAATCATTCCCATAACATACAGAGCACAAAAATTAATAAATACATAGCGATTAAGTAGCACATATTACACTTACATTACAACACATGGTGGTCTTCTGAGTTAGAAAATGTGGGCGGCATCTGAAATCACACAATTTCCTTCTATATAGTATGTGAAAATCAGTACGTGACTAAAGAAGTCCGAATCCACAGTACTCATAAAAGAAAAGGTTAAGCAAAAATTACCAAGATGACCTACCTCTTCTGAGATTCTGAAGTGTGCATCGATGGACACTTTACTATCCCATGAGGCCACGGGAGAGGATTTATGAATGGCGGTGAAGCGACGCACGCAATTTGTAGGTCATGTGATAATGACAACATGTTGAATGTAGTATGTACAAATTACATACATACTATATAGAGCATACTTTTTAGTGGTTGTGAAGTAATTACTCGTTCAAAATAAGTACCAACTCAAGAGTGCGATCTCAGACACACAAAGAAACGGTGAGTTGACAGCAAACAGTTGTTAATGTGAATCAAACCACATTACAGGAGTCACGTCACGATTACTGTGCACTACAGAGTCTTACATTTTAACATAACACACATAACGGTGTCCCTTTCCTTTCTTACAGTCTCGTATCTGCCATTTCGTCTTCCTCCAGACCAGGACACACTTCCTGCTTCCCTTCTTCCTGTTTTTTGGAGGGCTCCGCCTCCAGTTGGTGTAAGTGACCGGCTCTCCACCCACCCACTCCCAGCGGCCTTTACTTTCACGGTCGTTCAGACCTGTGGTTTAAGAAAAACAGAGCGTTGAGTTCATTGTTACATTCAGCGTAATCACACGGACTGCGAAGTTAGTTTTAATCACAAAAGAAGTTACCAATCCAAAAGGGTTTTCTTTCACTGAAGTCCCACAGCCAGTCCATGTCTCGTTTTGACAAAACACTGACCAGGTTTCCATTGAAGCTTCAAGAAACAAGTATTTAGTTAGTCAACATGGAAGTCACAAACTTGACCATTCTTATTTTTTATAGAATACTACAGTATTTACATAAATTATATATTCGTGCACATTTTTTTTAAATCAAAATAACTTCCCCTCGCGTTTACTGGCGTGAGGGTGGGGCAACCTGTCACTCACCTGAGATCCACCAATAGCAAATCGCAGCCATACAATCAATTCCTCATTGAGATTAATCGTTCAAATATGGCGATCTCCGTTCAAACACACACAATCGTATTCTTAAATGACAACGATTCAACTATGTATATTAAACCTTTGACAAGTAGCTACGATCACAGCCAACATTCAGATCTGAATTGGCATTCAAGAGATTTGTTCAAAAACACTGATTCATCACTAATGAAACGAGTCATTGAATCGTTCATTCAAACTGATTTAAAAAAATTGGGTTTTTTTAAAGGCGCAAAATGAACCTTTGGTCTAATTACACATTGTTACCTAGTCAACCGTTATCTGATTTGTTTACTTTTAAAGAGTTTTATCTCTAAAAACAGTTTAGCCTATAACGCTAGTATATAGGGCATAGAGTAATGACAAATAAAAATCTCTTGTTATTACCACTAACAAGGCTCAAAATAGACCCACACTAACACGACAGCATAATAAGAGTCCCTACATACAAACCGAAGCATTGAGAACTTTGTCAGTGTCCAAACAGATTAATAAGAAGATATTTTATACACACAGTCAACTTCGCGAATAAAGGAAGAAGCCATCTTTGAAAAATAGTCTCTACCATTCGATCTACGAACGCCGATCTTAGTGCGCTGAACTGTGCAGAATCTCATATGGTCCGTTGTTTTCGGAAGAAACACAAACACGAACCGTTTTCTTCTCTTCAATATGTACACGTAGCCTACTGTTCGCGCTCACCTTATCACCTTATTCACATCTCTACAGCGCACATGGATCGGCGTTCGTAGATCGACTGGTAGAGACTATTTTTCAAAGATGGCTTCTTCCTTTATTCGCGAAGTTGACTGTGTGTATAAAATATCTTCTTATTAATCTGTTTGGACACTGACAAAGTTCTCAATGCTTCGGTTTGTATGTAGGGACTCTTATTATGCTGTCGTGTTAGTGTGGGGCTATTTTGAGCCTTGTTAGTGGTAATAACAAGCGATTTTTAATTGTCATTACTCTATGCACTATATACTAGCATTATACTAGCGTTATAGGCTCAACTGTTTTTAGAGATAAAACTATTAAAAGAAAACAAATCTCAGATAACGGTTGACTAGGTAGCAATGTGTAATTAGACCAAAGGTTCATTTTGCGCCGGAGTTCTCCTTTAACATGTAACATTTTGTCAGAACTTCTAACTTAGTTATTTTGTTTAGTTGTCTGTTCTGAATCTCGGGAGAATCGTGATTTTGATTAAAAAATAAAAACGTGATTCTCAATTGATTCAGAATTGTGAAAATCAAGTGCAGGGTTGCCAAGTCTGTGACAGAATTGGGCTACTTTGAAACTGTTGACGTATGTTGTTATTTTTTTACCTCGTAGGTTATAGCCGGCAAATTTTTTTTATACATTTATATTTTATTAAAAAAAAAACGCTAGTATTGAAATAATGCTATTATATACAAATGTGCTAGATGATCACTACGATATACATAGTTGTTTTCAATTTGGAAATTAGTGACTGTAAAATATGTATTTTAGGTGTGAGAATGGCGTGTTTTGAGTTGATATTTAGGGCTACTTTAAGGCTATCTAGTTTTGTTACGCAGATCTGGCAACCCTGATCAAGGCCCACCCTACATTTTTGCTTGTTCGAGAAGCAATTCCACTGAGACGTCACAATAGGGAAGAACTGACTTGTTTAAACTTGTTAAACTTGTTCAACTTTAAAAAAATATTTGATATCTTCCGACTGGATGAAATCAAAGACTGAAGCAAAAAAAAAAATCAAAAATCATACACTACGCAATTTTCTGTGAAATGTGTCGAATCAAATCAGCAGACTGGCTCTGATATTCAGCAACTACTGTTTTGTCTTACCTTTCTCTGCAGGCCCGTACCGCGGTGCTCCACGTGGCTTTGCGCTCTGTGCTCAGAATATAGCAGAAGTCGTTGTGGTACGTCCATCCTCGAGGACATTTCTGTGCTTTCACAGTCTGAGTACAGAAAAGACGAGATGAAAATGAATATTTCATGAAATGTAGAAACTGAAGATCCAGGCATCATGATTTACTCTGAACATGAATGACCTCATTAGTAGGTGTCCAGGGCCTCCAGGAGACTCCATTACAGTGAAACATCTGACCTGAGCTGTCGTTGTAGTGGAGGAAGCCACTGAGCTCTGGAGTACAGGGTTTAGAAGAAGGCTTGGGAGAGAGGCACCAAACACGCGGGTTTATTTGCTAAAAGATTACTCTAATTAATTTGACGATTTCTAGACACACTCCCAAAACTCTCACCCGAGTCCCAGAAGGCTGCAGAACTCTGCCAGTTTGCTGTAGTTTTGTCCTGAGCGCAGGAGCGTGATGCTGCCCCCTGCTGGTCACCTGCACCTGTGCCTTTCTGTCAGTCCTGGAGTCAGCGTCGTCCTCCACCGCCATCGATACCATACCGTGATACTGTAAGTTATTGAGCATATTAATATGACGTTAATAATAATAACACAAATATAGTATCAACATTTAAGGTAAATATTGTTCTTGGATATAACCCAGATATACGTATAGTCACACCTGTAGCAACACATATCCTATACTGACACTATTTTATTCCACTTACTTTGTAAATGACATCAGATCCATGACGAATCATTTCCGAAGGCTGAATCTGTGGATGAAAGTGCTTTAGAGTATTCAGAATATATATATATACAATATATGTGTGTGTAGTGTGTATAATTATTTTGTATATATAAATACACAAATGCATTTATATATTTAAGAAAAATGTGTTCTTAATATATTAATATTTATTTATACACATAATATTAATTATGTATAATATACAGTGCCTTGCGAAAGTATTCGGCCCCCTTGAACTTTTTGACCTTTTGCCACATTTCAGGCTGCAAACATAAAGATATAAAACTGTAATTTTTTGTGAAGAATCAACAACCGGTGGGACACAATCATGAAGTGGAACGAAATTTATTGGATATTTCAAACTTTTTTAACAAATAAAAAACTGAAAACTTGGGCGAGCAAAATTATTCAGCCCCCTTAAGTTAATACTTTGTAGCACCACCTTTTGCTGCGATTACAGCTGTAAGTCGCTTGGGGTATGTCTCAATCAGTTTTGCACATTGAGAGACTGAAATTTTTGCCCATTCCTCCTTGCACAACAGTTCAAAGCTCAGTGGGGTGGATGGAGAGCGTTTGTGAACAGCAGTTTTCAGTTCTTTCCACAGATTCTCGATTAAATTAAGGTCTGGACTTTGACTTGGCCATTCTAACACCTGGATATGTTTATTTGTGAACCATTCCATTGTAGATTTTGCTTTATGTTTTGGATCATTGTCTTGTTGGAAGACAAATCTCCGTCCCAGTCTCAGGTCTTTTGCAGACTCCATCAGGTTTTCCTCCAGAATGGTCCTGTATTTGGCTCCATCCATCTTCCCATCAATTTGAACCATTTTCCCTGTCCCTGCTGAAAAAAAAAAAGCAGGCCCAAACCATAGGGGTGGCACGGTTCACAAAACCCACGGTTCGGTTTCTATCACGGTTTTAGGGTCACGGTTTTCGGTTCTGTACGGTTCTTGTTATTTTTTTCTTTTAATCTTTAACACTCCAGAAATGTACTTCAGCATGTGATATATAGCTTAATTATCCACACTTTAGGATACAGTATTAAAATATATATATATATATTATATTCATGCAATCATGCACAAACTGAATTTGACTCTTTGACTTTAAGCACATTTTTGGACTATCTCAGAGGAAAGCTAGGTGAGATTTAGATACAGCAATAGAGAAGAAATTGACATGCTTTTTGTTTATTTGGCAAAAAAAGGAGAATGTGTATCACTATCTCTACAAGAACTTGTGCATTTTTATGACATAAATCTTATTTACACAAAGAAATTAACTTTCATGTATCAACTGCTAACTTTTGTAGCTCTTACCAAAATTCTATCTTTTAAAAGAAAAAGAGAGGAACTCTTAAAACACTGTCTTTTAAATGTCAATATACATGAAACCTCATTGCCTATAGATAATTTAGCTATAGCAATAGCAAAGGCCATAAACATAAAGTGAAATTTAAGTTCAACCTCAACACAAAAACAGTACTATCAACAATGCTTCTATTCCCAAAATGTGAGGGTACTTTTTTCAACTTAAAATTAAAGTGCAGGGTTTGGAAACGTATGACTGAAGCTCTTATCTATACATAAAGTGCCACTGTAGTTAAATTAAAATATCATAACATGAAATCCAAAATGTTCCCACACACTGGACTTATACCATAGACTTATACGACGCTGGCGCATCCTCCAACTCCCTCACCTCTCCCACTTGCCATTTCTCCGCGTCCCGTGACCTGCAGCGCTCCATACTCCACTTTTACTGGCTTGTTTACTAACTTGAACCGGCGCTGCACAGAGCGATCGGTAATGACATCAAATACCGCGAAAGTGATGAATGCATACGGAGCCGACTCGCGCTAGACTGATGTTATTCACCGGTCGCTCTGTGGCTGTGCAGCGCCGGTCCACGTCGAACAAGTTTATGTAAACACACGTCACATACGGGCACGAGGTTACATTGCGCATGCGTCGAACCGTGAGACGCACACACGCTCCGAACCGAGACAAGCGAACCGAACGGTTCGGGTGTTTTTTCATGTACCGTGCCACCCCTACCAAACCATGATGCTGACACCACCATGTTTGACAGTGGGGATGGTGTGTTCAGGGTGATGAGCTGTGTTGCTTTTACGCCAAACATAACGTTTTGCATTGTTGCCAAAAAGTTCGAGCACCTTCTTCCACATGTTTGGTGTGTCTCCCAGGTGGCTTGTGGCAAACTTTAAACGACACTTTTTATGGATATCTATAACAAATGGCTTTCTTCTTGACACTCTTCCATAAAGGCCAGATTTGTGCAGCATACGACCATTGTTGTCCTATGGACAGAGTCTCCCACCTCAGCTGTAGATCTCTGCAGCTCATCCAGAGTGATCATGGGCCTCTTGGCTGCATCTCTGATTAGTCTTCTCCTTGTATGAGCTGAAAGTTTAGAGGGACGGCCAGGTCTTGGTAGATTTGCAGTGGTCTGATACTCCTTCCATTTCAATATTATTGCTTGCACAGTGCTCCTTGGAATGTTTAAAGCTTGGGAAATCTTTCTGTATCCAGATCCAGCTTTAAACTTCTCCACAACAGTATCTCGGACCTGCCTGGTGTGTTCCTTGTTCTTCATGATGCTCTCTGTGCTTTAAACGGACCTCTGAGACTATCACAGAGCAGGTGCATTTATACAGAGACTTGATTACACACAGGATTCAGGATCATTCAGAGATCCTCACTGAACTTCTGGAGAGAGTTTGCTGCACTGAAAGTAAAGGGGCTGAATAATTTTGCTCACCCAATTTTTCAGTTTTTTATTTGTTAAAAAAGTTTGAAATACCCAATAAATTTCGTTCCACTTCATGATTTTGTCCCACCTTTTGTTGATTCTTCACAAAAAATTACAGTTTTACATCTTTATGTTTGCAGCCTGAAATGTGGCAAAAGGTCGAAAAGTTCAAGGGGGCCAAATACTTTTGCAAGGCACTGTATATATATATATATATATATATACTGTATATATATATGTATATACATATACAATATATACAATATTTCTTAAATATATACATGCATGTGTATTTATATATACAAAATAATTATACACACTACACCTACATTTATTACGTAACTAAAAGCTTTTATTTTGGATGCGATTATATATATATTATACATTTGATATATATATATATATATATACATCAAATGTATTATATATATATTACACATTTGAGATATATATATATATATATCTCTCAAATGTATTATATATATATATATATATATATATATATATATAAACAAGTTCAATTTAAATTTAATAAAATTAAATAAATGTTGCCATCGTAGAGAGAATTAACTGGACGTACTAAAATTACTAAAACTTAAATGACAATAAAGCTTAAAAGGAATAGACGATTATAATTCTAAATAGAAACTAAAATTGAAAATCTAAACCACAAATATTTAAAAACATATTAAAAACCTTTTTTGTACCATAATAGTATATAAATAGAGTACTAGACAGACGGACGGACGGACGGAGGGACGGACAGACAGACAGACAGACAGACAGACAGATAGATAGATAGATAGAAAAGGTCAGATGATATTTGTGTGTGTGTGTGTGTTTAATCATATTAACTTACCACTTTTCCATTCCCAATGACTCTGAGTGTTTTCTTTGTAGTGGAGGGAGCTTCAGCTGTTATATCTCCATCCCCTCTGATATATCCCTGAGAGAAAGGTAATGTCTCCACCTGGATGGAGCCGTGTTGAGGGTACGGACCTGGCTCATCCTCCTGGCCTTGAATACTAGTTCCTGCTTTGATTCGGTTCTCTCTGCACTGCCCTTTAGAAACACCCAACAAATGACCTTTTTTTTTAGGAAACCCCATTTTTTGCTATATTCATTAAAGGAACTGTTCAACCAAATATATGGTCTTCTGGACAATCCGCACTAACCATTTGTGTCCTTTATGAAGATGGTGGCTTTAGATTTGTCTTTCAGCATTGCACCCATCGGAGATATCAAGGTAACCTCAAATGTCTCATCACCTTCCTCTAAAGAGTCCTGAACAATCTCCACTCTCCATCCTCGACTGACCATCCCTGAGAAAAGACAGAGGTGACACGTTTTGACTGAATTACGTTCTGTAGTATCTTATTGTAGCATCTTTATTTAAAGGGGTGGTTGATTATGATTTCTCTTTTCTAACTTTAGTTAGTGTGTAATGTTACTGTTTGCGCATAAGCAACCTCTGCACAGTTACGAAGCTCAAAGTTCAAAGCAAAGGAAGATATTGCTTTTTCAGAAATCGACTACAAAAATGGCTGGTAGGGACTACACGAGCTTTTACAAGGGTTCTAACCCTTTTATTTATAGTATATTTATATATTATATATTTATTTATTTATGGATTATTATGACAGTAAGTTATATGCTAATCAATGACTAGAAGAACTCCACATCAGCTATATAAATTCATCAACTAACCATTCAGAAATGTCCTGTTGCTTTTACATATTGTCACTTCTTCTTGAGACTCCGACTCCATTTTGAACATAAAAGGCTAAAAGTTTTAGAAATTTTCAGTGGTGTCTGCGTGAAGTAATCGCATAAGGTAATCATGGCTGCTAACGCTCTTGAAGCTCCGCCCCCATTGTGCATCTCATTTGCATTTAAAGGACACACACACACAAAAACGGTGTGTTTTTTGCTCACCCTCACAAAATAACAACTATTTTAACATGCTATAAATAATATATCTGTGGGGTATTTTGAGCTAAAACTTCACATACACACTTTAAGGACATCAGAGGCATATTTTACATCTTATGAAAAGAGCATTATACCACCCCTTTAAAAAAAAAAAACCTAAGAAAATCCCAGTGTTTCAATTTACCTGGGTCAAACTGAATCAAAGATGAAGCCGGTATAAAATCCTTTCCAGCAGATGCTGTTAGTTCTTTCACCTATGGAAAAAAAAAAAAAAAATATATATATATATATATATATATATATATATATATATATATCTCAAACAAATAAAAATATATATATATATATATATATATATATATATATATATATATATATATATATATATATATATAATATATATATTAAAATCCTTTTTTGCAGAAGAAAAAAAAACAATCAAATAAACCACAACAAATAAAGCTAAACACAATACCTGTACAGTCACATAAGATGAGTCCTGCACATTCCCCTTCCTCTGGATGGTTAGTGAGACTGACCCCTGACTCTCACATATGATATACTCAGTCCTGGTCAGCTCCACACTGGCCCAGCTAAACTCCAATCTAACACAGGGAATAATATTTATTACAAATCCTAATATACACAAACAATGTGCCATTCAAGTGTACAGTATGTGTGATGTTCCATAATACATTGAGAAATACAAAAATATTATTTTGCTATAAGAAATGACTATCATGGGCAATGAAATAAAACTTTTTACCAAAAAAAAAAAAAAAAAAAACCATTTCAAAAGCGCAAGGTTTACTTGTGAGAAAGTCCAGATTTGCCCAGTGCATCAGACACGGCAAACTCCAGGCTGTCAGTTAAAGAGTCCAGAGCAGAGTTTATGACGTAGAGGATATTCCTTCTGTTCAGATCCCTCTGAGAGAAACGATGCCTCACAAACTCACCTACGGACATGTCAACGATTATACAGGATGTAAACACATTATTACAGACAGGAAGACTAGATCTAGATAGATGGATACACAGACAGACAGACCTCTCACCATTGGTATAATTTTCCAGGTATCCAAAATAAGGCGGTCTGAGGATGTGATAGATCAGATCACCGTCTGCAGAGTTCTTATCCTGAGCCTTAAGCTCTCTGGAGGAAATAAAGATCCCATAACGACCATCTTTGAGAAGCTCCACTTTCCATAGGGTTTCCAACACTGCTATCTGTGGAGCTGAGCTGTCGAGAGCTTCAATCTGTGGCACACGCATCATTTCAGCAGGATTAAAAGTTGGAAAACAATAACAGGATACAAGTTATGTTGGATATGCATTTAACGATGTATGAAATTTTTTTTTAAATATAAGTACAATCAAAGCACTTACCGCACTCTCCCAGCTAATTAACCTATATTTATGTAGTCAAACATTCAAAAAAGGTATTTTATTAAAATGGATAGTTCACTTTGAAATTAATTTTTGGTATTTTTTAGGTTACCTCAAGGGCATCCAAGATGTAGATGTCTTTGTTTCCACAGGAGTTTCAATTTTGATATTTTTAGGTCAAACCGTTCTTGTCTGTCAGTCATATAATGCAGGTCTATGGTCACCACCTCAAAGAGCATGCACAGAGAAGTCCAAATTAAACATGATTTAATGACTCGTAAATGTAAGTACACATTGATGGCCTAAGACACGAAACGAGCGGTTTGTGTGAGAAAATGGACAGTATTTATATTGTTTTTACCTCTTACCACAGCCGCAAATCGCCCACGCCCTCAGATCACTTGGATGTGGCTGTGTTTACAAGAGGTAAAAATGATATAAGTACTGTTCGTTTTTTTACACAAACCGCTCGTTTCGTGTCTAATGCCATCAATGTGTACTTACATTCACGAGTCATTAAATCATGTTTAATTTGGACTTCTCTGTGTAAGCTCTTTGAGGTGGTGACCATAAACCTGCATTATATGACAAGAACTTAACCTAAAAATATCAAAATTAAAAATACTGTGGAAACAAAGATACCTACATCTTGGATGCCCTTGAGGTAAGCTAAAACATACCAAAAATTAATTTCAAAGTGAATTTCATGCATTCAGTGTAACAATTCACTGATCTCAGAGGTTATATAGAAAACCCTACAAATTTTAAGGTGATCCTGTTTAGACAATCAATCCACAGTTCAACTCCATCTGAAACGAAACATAATTATAGTAATGGGAACAACACATCAGTCAAAATGTTTACTTACAAAAGATCTCAAAACCTGGCAAATATGCTAGTTAAATCAGACGTTGTGCGTGATGACAAAAAAAGCATGCATGTTCCCCTTGTAGAAATAGCATATTATGTTCTTCTGTCTTACCATATAAAAATTGCACATGTTCCTCTACAAAAAAAAGTATGCTATCAAATCCTGAATAGCATGATCAACTAAAAACTTAATTTACCTACTCCTATATCCATTGATGTACTGTATGTTGGGAAAACATCAAAAGCATTGAGGGTCAGAGTGAGTGAACACAAATCAGCCATTTGCAGACATGATGTTACTTCTCCCATTGTCAGACACTTTATCGAGTATAATCATGATAATGAACATCTTAAATGTAGTAGGTATTAAAAAAGGTTATGAATTCCAGCCGTGGTGGAGATAGATAAATAACTTTTACCAAGAGAGACGTTTTGGATGTTTCATTTACAGACATGTCTCCTTTGGGTTTAAATGAGGATTATGATTATTTTTAATTATTGATGACACACAATACACTCTCAGAAAAAAAGGTACAAAAGCTGTCACTGGGGCTGTACCTTTTCAAAAGGTACACTTTTGTACCCAAAGGCTGCATATTGGTACATTAGTGATACATATTACCACCTAAAATATACATATTAGCACCTGAAATGTACACAGCACCTAAAATGTACATATTAGCTCCTGAAATGGATATATTAGCACGTAAAATTTATATATTAGCACCTGAAATGTACATATTAGCACCTAAAATGTACATACTAGCACCTAAAATGTACATATTAACACCTAAAATGTACATATTAGTACTTAAAATGTACATACTAACACCTAAAATGTACTTATTAACAATTAAAATGTACATATTAGCACCTACAATGTACATATTAGCACCTTAAATGTACATATTAACAAAATGTACTTATTGGCACCTAAAATGTACATATTAGCACCTAAAATGTACTTATTAGCACCTAAAATGTACAGATTAGCACCTGAAATGGACATATTAGCTCCTGAAATGCTAAAATGGACAAAAGTTTACCTTTTGAAAAGGTACAGCCCCAGTGACAGCTTTTGTACCTTTTTTCTGAGAGTGTAAGGTTCATTAGTTAACAACCTTAGTTAACATGACCTAAGAATGAACAATACTTCTACAGCATTTATTAATCTTATTTAATATTAATTTTAAAATTTACTAATAAGTTATTAAAATCAAAGGTTGTATTTGTTAACATTAGTTAATGCACTGAGAACTACTAACATGAACAAATAATGAACAGCTATTAACTAATATTAACAAAGATTAATGAAATGTAACAAATGAATTGCTCATACATTAACCTTTTATAAGTGTCACCAAATTATTTTGGTCACAATGTTTATGAATGGCATTTTTTCCTGATGTGTTATTGTTTCTATTATTAATATTGATTTGTTGTTCCAGATGGAGTTGAAATCTGATTATGATCACCGTAGTGTTTTCTATAAGTCGAAATGTCTGCATTGTTTTTATCTCCTGCTTGAACTTGATAAAAAAAAATGTTACAATGCAGACCTTTTTGAATTTTTAAAAATATGTACAACAAAAAAAATTTGTATCACACTACATGATTGCAACTAACTTGCAGAGTGAAGAAGAGCGGCTCAGTTTGCAAGTGTCCGTCCAACAGAAAGCCTCTTTCTGTGCTGTCAGAGGCCGTGAATCTGAAGCGATCGATCTGAGAAGCTCCTCCAGAGTGTCTGTATGAAACATCCAGATCCTGAATGTTCTGCTGGGTAAAACTGCTACCAGCGACCAGTGTCTGTCCCTTCAAAAGCAACTGGCCATACAGGGGAGGGTGGACCACCCTGTAGCTCAAGGCAGTGTGTGGACTGTCAGGATCAGACAGGAATAAGGCATCAGGTGTCAAAGTTATGGTGGACCCCTGGGGAACCCGTAGACCAGTGTTATGCACTAGTGTGGGCAGAACCTTATCAGTCATTTCCACTAAGATCTCCAGGGTCCCGTTGCGAGTTGATATGCCATTGCTGACCACAAACCTATGGATAATGAAGACATATGGAGACACAAAGCACAAATCAATAACTTTTATGGGACATTAATCACAGTTGCACAGAAATTCAATAAAATAAAACAAACTTAAGATAAACAAAAAAGGTTACTCACATCTGGGTAATATTTTACCCCACAATAAATAAACAATATATATAAATATATACTTGTTTATTATTTATTATACACAATATATAATTAATATATATATAAAAATATAATGATGTTACACTGTATATACACAGATTGTTATTATTTAATTAATATTGATTTAGTTACAGTACTTACAATATGTGTGCAAATTGTGCTTATATATTAATATTAAATATTTATTTATTATTTTTAATTATTAATTAAGTGCAAATTGTGCTTAATTATCACAAAGATAATTAAACAATTCCTAAATGTTTTTTTTAACATTAATGAATCATTATACAAAACATTTTAATATTTAAATAAATATTATTTTATTATTTATTTCGATTTTTGGTGAAAAAATAACTCTAAAAATAAAACTATAACATCATTTTGCAAATTTAAAAAAAAATGGTTGATGAAGAAGGCAGACTGCATCAGTCTTGCATGAGGTCCTTACTGCAGGGTCTCTCTTGGTGAAGTGGCTCTGTTGTCATGTACATAACACACCAGGTTTGCTGCTACGTCCAGCTGACTGAACGACTGAATTTGCACGCCGGTGTGTTTGATGTACTCCAAATGACCATGTGCTGGAGGTACAGTGATGACATAGAGCAGCTCCTCCGGCTTGTCAGTGCCGTCTACCGCCAGCAAGACGTCTGTGGTGAGAACCACACGCTCCCCTCGACTAGACCTCACAGGCTTCAGGAACAATGCTATGTCTCCTGCAGATCAGCACAGAGCAGACGTGAAAAGAACTGACACAATTGAACAATTTTATGATAACTTTTGGAATATATGAATATCATCAGGAGATAAAAAGTAGCAGCCCACCTTTCTCCAGTTCTTTGACTGTAATGTGGAAGTGCTGAGCAGGAGAGCGGTTCTTGCCGTCCAACAGGTGGAAGACAAAGAAGTCGGCAGCGGGTGCTCCAGGATGACTGGTGTGAAGGTACCGTAACAGGTTCATATCCAAAACCTGCTGAGAGCAGTTCATTCCTGCAGATACAGACACCCAGTCTGTGCCGACCTGAGGATCAGTAAACATTCTGGATTTGCTCA